AGAGAGCAAAAGTTCTCGTTGTCGACCTACTTATAATAATCCAGACCCTACAACGTTGAGTGGGGGCGTGGTGGGGGAGGGCATTCCTCATTGATATATCGATGGCAACGTTTGGTCTGCTCATTCGTGCTGCGTGTGCGCCAGTTGCCAGTTGACAGTTGATAGTTGACTTGACATAATGGGCGGGGGAGAAGTTGTGGAACTGTAACTAAAGCCGAACCAACCACAAGTCACATACAAAATAATTGCATGTCGAATGCTGTATTAAGCCCAAATTACATCAACTTCTTGGCTGGAGTAGTGGAAAAGGATATGTTAAGTTATGGCAGAGTTAATAGTGCGATTACTTTTCCTTTTCATTTGACAAGTATTTTATGATGCTGACTTGAATAAACCATAACATTTTAAAGATATTAATTCCATCAAATTAAGTCAAGGCGCCGAGATTAAATTAAACTGAAATATCCTAAATAAGGCTAAGAATTCAGTTGTCTTTGTAGATCATAAATTAACTATAAAAAAACGAACGAATTTAAATTAAGTTTCTTAAATTATTTGTCTACAAAAATATAATAATTTGAGGATAATATTATATGGATTCTTTAGATATATAAGGGATGACTATTAAGAGAACTTTACTATAACTAACTGACATTATATAAATGATAAAGAGACATAAGACAAATGGTTGATATGACAGTGCTTTAATCTTAATTAGCTTAGTATTTATGAACATTTCACTTCACACTTACTTATTCTTTGTATTCCTTGCGTACACCAATGACTTTTGACACATAAATTAAGTGCACAGCACATTATTATCCATCAGTCACATCCTGTTGGCCAGTAAACTTTCATTTAGAGCCCCCTCACTCTCGTACTCAAAAAATCTAAGAGATAAACAAGCTGCGATGTCAAGGACAATTAAAAAGTGTAAAGCGATACGGCTTCTAGCGGTTGCCCTTGTTCTCGTCCTGTCTGATGCTGTTTCGTGTTTATGATATTTTTGTCATTTTAATTACCCCTCAGCGTGTCTATGAGTGTGTGTGTGTGTGTTAAGTGTGTGTGTGGTATGAGAACAATAAGGATAATTTTCCCTATCTCGTACAAGGACAAACAAGTGACGCACATTATTTGCGGCTAGTCGCTTCGCTTAGCTTTAATTACATTTCGCTGCTTTTCCAACATTATTTAAACAATTAAGGCAAAGGTGATGGAGAGGTGGGGAAACTGGGCGGGGATCGGGAGGCTATGCTTTGCTGCCCGTTGACGCAATTTGCTGGTGAGTTGCTGCATTCGCAGACGCCATAAAATGCAAATTCCTGTTGATCCCGTTTGCCAATGCCAGTGCATGGCCTGCCATTTAGAAGACGGGTTAGTTGCCACACCCCTGCCGCAGCACTCCCCCAACAGCTTGTCATGTCTGTTGTGTGCCAATTTCTTGTACCACGTTCCTGGCGCGCCTCAGCACAAACCAATCTAAGGATATTGTCGCTGCAATCCCCAAAGCTCTGACACTGCCGACGACAACTCCCAGCGCTCACTGAGCCGTAGCACAAATATTTGATTTCAGTTTTTGTTGTCTTCAACACTGCAATAACAAAATCTGCAAAATTATTTGTTCAAGCCTAAGAGAAATTACCAAAAAAAGTTTGATTGGCTTAAATAACTTTAAATTCCACAAAAATTTCACTTTTACTTCTTAATTATAATATTATATTATTTTTCACAAACCTTTTTAAGGTTGATTGTAAGTAAAAAAAATTCAGTCAGGCAAGTTGGAGGAAATAAATCTGAAAACAATCTTTTTCTTGCAATCTAATATTTATCAATCAATTTCCCAGAATGCTTGCAACTTTAATGCACAAACCGTTGTGGAATATTTTTCTTAAATATTTTATTAAATATATTATTTATATATTAGAAAGAAAGTCTATTAAGCAATCTATGCAGAAAGATATTTCCAAAAAAGCATAAGCAAAAAATAAAAATATTGTTTTTTGCAGAAGATATAAATATAATATATTTTTAAATTTCTTAAAAAATGCCTTATTTACTAATGTTGTGTACAACAAATTCGCTGAGTGTATTATTGTTTAAGTGCTCTGGTTGAATTGGCAACTACACGAAACTGGCGCGACATAATCCTCCGGTATTTTCACGCTGCCACTGCACCTTTGACTCTATAGTAGAGGCGAGCAGTTCTCCTCCCTCCAGCCCCCCCTTACACAGTAAGCTCATCAAATTGCCATTACTTTGCCCTTAGCAAATCCGACAAGGACTGCAGCGCTGTCACCAGCTGTTGCTCCCGCCTGGCCAAGTTAACGGTATTAGATAAATATGCAAATAGAATGCGAGTCAGTAACCAGGTCTGCGGCACGTTAAGTATACGACATGTTATTTACACACAACTCGCGATTAGCTACAACTTTAAATTGAGCAGCTCAATTCCAAGATCGTAATTTCTCTAAAAAAAGAAAACAACGCCTGCTAATAAATAATGAAGTTTCCACAAACTGATTTTTCCCTCAGACGCTCATTAATCTCCAAGTTCAATGACCGAAAAACTTGCCACGTTCCCACGGCCACGCCCACGCGCACGCCCATGCCCAACTTTTTAAATAGTTTCCTTCCGCATGCGAACCCTTTTTGGGTAACCAAAATACAATTCTTATCGGACTACACGCATGTCAAGTTTGACCTCGGACCACAACTCAGCTTTTTGTTTAGTTTCATTTTAGCTTTTATTTATTTATTTATTTTTGTTGTCATTTTTTATATATTATTTTTTATTTTCTTTTTGCAGATTTTAATTTACTTCTCTCTGCGTGTTTGCCAATTTCGGTTGCTCATAATTCAAAATGAATACGAATAGAAAAGGCTGTAAGGGAAAATTCAGAGCAAATCGAGATAACTCTTAGAAATGCCCACAACATTTTACATATAAATTGGCTGCGCCTGCAAAAAGTGAAACCAGCAAAAGATTTATATTTTATCAAAGATCTGGAGTATGAAATAGGTAGAAATTGTGACTACGCAATCCTCTGAAAATGCTTCCAAAATATACTATGTTACCAGAATTCATATTGAAATACTGTGATGAAACTTTTTTCTACACATGAGTTATGGATTAAGACTCAGTCTGATTACCCATTTATTTAGTTGACATCTTATTAAAATGAAGCAGCAAGAAACTCTAACCATACAAATACAATTATTTAAATGAATAACTAAAAACACAAAATGAAAAAAAGTACAAAATGAATCAAGATCATCTGTCCAGCTAAAAAAGCATACTCAATATTGAATGCGTCCTGTAGCTGAGCAAACCAAATTCAATCGAAACTTTTTATGGTTGATTTTGAGATGTTCGAAGCTGTTTTCAGCTTGAAGCTAAGCGCAGGCATAAAAAACTCTCTCGAATCATCGGCCATTTCAAGCTAACTGTGGCCCAGAGTAAAGCTTGGCTATTCAGCAGTGACTGCTTCCATTTCAGTTAAACAAATGCCTAATGTGCTTCCTGTTGACCAGCCAAGGAAACGTGTCCTGTGTTTGTACACGCAGTGTCGAATGACATGTCAAACACGCAAACTGAACCGATTTAGGCAACTGTCTCCAAATGCCTAAGGACTTCAATGTCTCTCCATTCCTCGCCATCTCCATCGCCCTCTCTCTCTCTTTTTGTTGTTTGAGCTACCAGGACAAATATTGATTATTATTCTAGCGGACAGAGCGCTTTCGCGGATTTCGAGCAGCTTAGAGCGTTTTGGGCCATTTTGGTTTTGTTTTGGCCATTGACCTTGTATCCAACTGCTGACACTAAAATTTATGACATTAAATGAAATGAGACGACATTTTTTCCGTATTTTTTTTTCACTTTGTGGCCTTGAAGTGGTGTGAAGAAGTACGCTTAGGCGTTAATTATTTGATAAATTCACTGGAATTAGGGAAGAAAAAATTGCTTCTTTAATTTGGTAATGTTTATGGTCCATTTGGTCGTATCGAAGCATTAAATTTGTCATTCTGATTATCTTGTATATTGAGTTAATTAATTGGATTGGCGTCCTTACTGAACAAGTTAGCTGAGATGTTTAGTACTTGATTTTAAGATATTGAAAGCAGATATACAATAAAAGTATAAGAAAGCAAATAAAATAAATATAACAAAGTTGAGCCAGCAACAAAGAAAATAACATACGATAAAATCAGCATTAGTGCGAATTAAAAATACAGATTGAATTCACTCAGCACGAAATATAATGCAGTAATGCCAACCAGGGTAAACAAATCGAGCTTATACTAGATCAGTGTCCCTTATGACAATTCATATGGCAGCCTGTGTAAGCAATCAAAGTTCACTGTCCAACGATTTGCATAAAAAATCGCACAAATATTTATTCATATGCATTCACTTACATGCACTCAAAGTAGACCGGCAAACCAACAACAAACCAACAACAAAATAAAAAACACAATTTTTGGCATTCATTTTTTATTGCAGCACAAAGGACAGCCAAATATAAAAAATACAAATAACAAAAATAAGTTGAGCAAAATATATTTTTTCTGCAATTTGGTATTGACTTTTGTTTGGAAACTTTTTCTCACCCATTTTGTGTTCGTTTGGATGCGCTTCATAAAGAAATCTCATCGATTTATCAATTTAAAATACGAAAAAAAAAGGAAAAGTGGCATTTTGTCAGCACTCAGATATTTTCTGGACTTGAATGTGTTCTTTATGCTAAGCGAATGGCACCAAAAACTTCGCTTATAAAGGGTATTTTTACTTCAATTTCAATACACAGCATTTCAAATACCATAGCTTATTGTCTACATAGGATAGATCCTTTCGAGGCTATCGAGTAGGCAACGATTTAAATTTAAATATTTCTGTATAATTCTCAAAAAGAGCTCAAACCGAAAGCTGATCGGCTTGGGTTTTAAATCAATTTTTGGTTAATTGTTTAAAATCGTGTGTATAAACATTTTATTTTCCAAATTTAATGTTAGTGCTTACTTCACTTTTAAACGTCGTTTTTTGAATACCAATTTGACTATATTAAAATGTTAGCATCAGTGTTTAATAGTCCAACAAACCAGCATTTGTTGTACACCAACAACAATCACAAGTTGTATGCAGTGCATCACGATTTGAAGCAAACACCGATCTTGCAATCGATAATTCCTCCACTTAAAGGTAATTCGAAAGACGGTGGACGACAGATCAGTGCCAGATCGCCAAGGCAAGTGCACAAATCTTCATCGCAGATTATTGATGAATTCCTGGGAAGCTCAAAGAAGCACAAAAAACACAAAATCAGGTCAAAGATCGCGGTAGTGCAACAGCAACGTGTCGGGGAGACAAGCTCAACGCGTTTGGCATGCAAGGCTTATACATTGCCGCATAATGTGGACACTGAAGTCGTTGAAGTGATGCCATCAGGAGACTCGCCCAGTAATAATTACAACGACGACTTGAACGACATGTCTCTGGAATTCCGTCAAGATCTATTGCAGGATCCTTCGCATACCCGTCTGTGGGATCTATTGGACAACTCGCAACAACGTTTGGACTCCATAATACTGATCAGCTCGCATATATATGAGAATCTTTCTAGTGTTATTCTCTATATTTCTGATATTTTTGAGAATTTTTTATTGAGACATTATAACAATCCGTTGCCCAGACTACGACGAACCTTGATAGACAAGTTGAGAACTTTTTGCCAATATATACTGAGTATAAATGCGGACTTGTCATGCACTGGCAACATCACTGCAACAAAAGTGTTGCAACCAATTCGAATCTGGACGCATGCAGTTGTCTCAGATCATCATGGAAACTTGGGACCAGAAGCAATTCTTCCAAGTCGGAAAAGAAAACCTTTCACATGACACCATATGTGAACAGCCAAATCAAAATTCTGCAGTAATAAAATACAAAAAATCAATCTTCAAAAACAACATTTTTACATTTAACGCAAAATCGATTCAATTTGTATTAAATATATAAAAAAAAAACTTATTAAAGGAAGAAAAAACAATTGACTTGCACAACAACAATAAATTTGCGTTAGACTTAACAGTTTGTCAATTGGGATTAATCTCCATCCCATACGCAATCCCAATCCCAATCCCAATCTCAATCCCATTTCCATTTCCATTTCGATTCCATTCTATTAGACTTACCGTCAGCTGAGATACTTATGATTAAATTTAATAACCCATGTGATGTTTGAGCTATTCGCGCTTTTATGTCTGCCGCTTATTCAGATGTCCAACCGCGAATGTTTATTGCATAATATAGTGGGTGGGGCATGTGGGGTATTTTGGGGAATGGTGCAATAACAATTTACGTCGATGTCACCTCTGCGGCGTATGCGACACACACTGGATGTAAGCAAAGCTGCTGGGTTTTTATTGAAGAAACCAACGAGGCGCATTAAATAAATGCCACGAGACGAATCTCATTTAATTTTACGTTTACAATTTCTGACATTCTCTACCTAAAACTAAAAGCGAACAACAAGCTAAAGGATATTGTCGCATAACGTTGCTTGAATACGCTTTCTATTCTAATTTGTGTGTTTAAGCGGAATTCTGGAAAATATATAAACAGAATATATATAAGATATATAGATATATTCATATATAAATAAATTAACAACCTGTTAAGATCAAAAATCGATCAGCGATATCTGTAATATGTTGTTTTGAAAAGTAAACTTTAAACAAATTGAGACTCTTTTGCTCGTTATAAGTTTGTGTCCGCAGTCTGTATAACTAGAACTATACAATATTCAAGTTATTTTGAAGTTGTTCATAAAATGAATGGACCCAATTTGGAGTGGCAACAACAACTGTTGTCTAAGGGTTATCAAGTTTGTTGCAAAGTGTTCTTGTCTCTTTGTTGCTCGTCTAGCTTATCGCTGACGGCTTCTGTCTGGACAGATTCGTGTGCTAAATTATTGGAATTTGACAAGTAAACTGCGAACTGAGAACCACGACAGACAAACAGATTCTGTTGGGGACCGTTGGTACCCCTTGCTGGTCAAGTGGCTAGCTGCAGTTTCAGTTTCAGTTTCAGCTTCAGTTTTGGCTTCAATTTGTGTCTGCGTTCAGAAATTCAATTAATTAGCTTTGACACTGCGACACTGCGACACTTGAGGCAAGAAGTTAAAGTCAAATGCTGTATCTGGCAAATTTGTTGCTGTTACTTAATTTGTCAATTATCGATTATTGATTAGTTTGGCCCAGAAATGGCGTCGCATTTAGTATGTTCTATAATTAGCTGGCTAGTTGTGGGCCTCTCTCTCAATTGCGCATTATGAAACTTGAACTCTTGGGGCCAAAGGTCGCACGTGATAGATACGTCAATTTCATTTGAAATCTTTTTATAAGTAGGCTTACACTTAAGTAAATGACATAACTTAAACTTAAAGCCTCTTATCAGATTATCTTTAAAGCTGAAAACCAGTTGCATTTGCAAGCACTTAGTGTCAGGCGTGTATCTTAAAGATACGATTTTAAAGCCTTTGACTTTTGCCTGACAAATTAATCAAAACAATGTTGTGGCTAGTACCACAGTCAAATTGGCCAAGTGCTCTATCATTCATTTATCTCTCACTCTCTCTTTGTGTCTCTGTCTCGCTGTCTCTTAAAATCTGCATCTCTTTCACCATTTTAGTCATTTCTTGTTGGCAGCAGTTGCCTTTCGTGCTATTCGCTTTTATGGCCAATAGCATTTTATTTTAGCCAGCAAACTATTTGCTGTAGTTAAAGCCAACTCAACACATGCAAATGCGACTTGTATCTGTGCATTTGTCTGCTCTAAAATAGAAATAGAAATTTCCAGCAGGCAACAACTGCTGATTGCAAGAATAAAAGGCAAGACAAAAGCTGCTACGCTTTTGCCATCCACTTCGAGCAGCTTTAAATTTATGAGTCAACTAATTGCCCTGGCACTGAGGAAACAATTCAGAAAGAGCACTAAAAATAGAGAAACAAAAAAAATAAAAAAAGAAAATCACTAGGTTCTACCGAGATTTGAACTCGGATCGCTGGATTCAGAGTCCAAAGTGCTAACCATTACACCATAGAACCGGTTGGCTACTTACAAATTATTGAGGGTCTTCAAGCGCTCGGCAACAAAGTACAAAGAAAGTGTTGGCAACTTTTGCTGCTGTTGCGTTTTGATTTATTTTTAGATTTTTATTTTTACATTAAGAAAGTAGGTAATACATAAATGTATATATATTTATATATATAAACTGTGCTGATAGAACTCTTTGCTGGGCAGTGAGCCTATAATTCAAATTAAATGTATTTTATATATGGAAATTGCCAAAAATAAATGCAGGTTTACCCAAATATAAGAATAAAGTTCGCTTGTGTTGTTAAATACATTATCCGATTTAAAATGGTTATTATAATTATTGTTATTCGTATTCATATAAATATATTAGCATACCTTCAATCAATTTTGATGTAATAACAAATTCATTAAATCATATTTAAATATTTATCACAAGCATAATAAAACCTTCACTGTTTAAATTTACAGATGTTGCCATTTGATTTGTCATTTGGTATCCTTTTTAGAATCACAATCAGAGCAAAAGGATAATTTCCAGTGCCATTAGACACATCACATTGAGAGCCATCCACAAGCGCATAAACTCTGATCTTTAATTGGTCAATTCTAAACAGTTCAACTTAATGGCTTACTACTTTAGTTATTCTGCTGCACGCCCACATGCCACAACTGAAATGGGCGTGGCAGGACAATTATATGCAGTTCAGTTCAGTTCATTGTCTGACTTTGCTTCTCTGTGTGTGTGTGTGTGTGTGTGTCGCGCTCATTTCAACCGTACTAATTAGCCAAACACTTGTTTCCCCGGCAGGATGCTGCCGTTTCCCCCTCCCCCCTTTTGGTATCTTGTTGTAAACACACTCATTGCTGCCGCTTACCTGTGTGCTTATGCTTATAAGCGTGTTTCAAGTTTATGTTAAACGCCCCTTTTTAGTCAGAACTCGCTGCAAACACCTCCTGCCAAACACATCAGCACATCATTTGCATGCGTTTAGTGTGTGGGCGTTTAAGATGTGTGTGTGTGTGTGTGTGTGTGTATGGGCGTGGCTGGCGTAAATAACAGCAACTTTGTGCAATGTTATTTGATTTCGTCGGCGACAGCTTTGACGACAATCTCATTAACATGATGACAACAACAAAACTCGGCATTCGGCATTGGGCATTCGATATCGGCATCGGCATCGACATCGACATCGACATCGCAATGGGTGCTCAACTTAATATTCATTTCATCCTGTTGACAGCACTCGGATGTCATATAAAGTGCACTAAAAGCAGCAGCATTCAAATGATTGTTGTGCTCAAATGCGATTCTTATGACCCCTGATTCCGCAAACAGTGCAATGCAATTTTTATTCGTCGAGGCTGAAATGTTAACCAATCCTTGGTAAATTGATATCCCGACAGACAGACGCAAATGCCCATAAATATTGTCAATGTATTGTTTGTCAATTGATGTCATCAATATGAACAATTTGTATTTTTTATTGTAAACAACGTTTGCGGCGAATTCAGCAAAAGCTTTGAAGCTTTTAAGCTATTCGTTTGGTTGGAAACTTGACTGTGTGAGCAAAAGCTTTCCATTCAAGTTTTTGTTTAAATCATACGCAACTTGAGGTTTAAAAGTTTCAATTTATTCATGTTTCACACAAATAACTTTCTGTACTCAATTTGATTTATATTAATAAAAATTTAATAGGATTATAACTTATTATGATTATCATTCATTAATTTTAAAGTTACTTTTATGATAAATCCACTTGGATTTTTGATTTGACTTAATCTTTTTCTTACAAACAAAACTATTGCTGATTGCGTGATAGTTGGCCAAAAATATTTACGAATCCTACAAGAACCACATGCACCTAAAAACATTCCATAGTTCCAAAAATCGCATCTAATCTGCTTAGCATTAAACACTCGTGTTTTCCAACTGATAACACCAATATATTAAATAATTCAAAGACATGTATATATAAAAAAAAATAAAATAATAATAATAATCTATTATGTACCAAGTATTTTTCATTTTAGTGACCCAACACAAATCGATGGAAACCAGAGATAAGCAGCAAAAAAAAAAGAAGTAAATGAAAAAAATTGATGTATTATATATAGTTACTATATAGAATATTTATAGGTAAAAATAATACGTAAGGCAATAAATATAATTTTGATTAAAGTACTTTAGAGATAATCGCAATGCCTTCGGATTTGATAGCCATACAGATGCTAGAATTATGATTTATATTAGCCATATATGTTTATATATGTACTTATCAATTGAATGACGTTAGAGGCAACTGCATTTGATTCACGTCATGATGCAAAGCTTTGCCAGCTGAACTTGTGCTTGAACCTTTGGCCCCCCTTCTGCTGGCCAAGATAAGGCAGCGACGGAAGCGTGCCCAAAGTTGGACATAAATATTAAAAGAACTGCCGACACGGCCTGCTATGCTCATATGTAATTTGTACAGTACTGCAGCTTATTGACTTAAACTGCTGCTCCGACCATGTTTATCAACTCATAAAATGTGGCCAGCTAATATAATTTGATAAGCGGCAAGCCAAACAAACAATTGGCAACAGCTGAAAGTTTGATTCTCAAGATATTTCGGCATCGGTCACTGGATAGACTTTTTTCTATTTATATTATTATTTTTTTTTTATTAATAAAGATATGGTGCAAACACGTCAGTACAATTTATTTGGAAATTCTGATAATAAATGTAAAATTTTAGAATTAATTTAATTTCGGTTATTATCTTTTAACGTTATGATTCATTATTGTAAGGCATTATTTCAGTTTATTTGCGTACGTTTAATGAATAGATTAATAATTTTATTGTGTATTTTTATTAAAATACCCCTATTAAAGGGGGATGGGAAAATTGAGATTTTCTTAATTTCTTATTAAAAATGAACCATTTTAAGAAAAAATATGATATTACTATGCCTACTTCTGGAAGACAGCAGATAAGCCAGGTATTATCTTTCAGTTTATTTTTGGGAATTTAATGACTTTAAATTTGTATACGGAAATATTTTGACAACCTTGATATTTATATTAAATTAGTATTTGTTTATATTCAACGATTCATACTTTATTTTGGATAAGAAAAGTAAGGTTTTGTTGTATTTTATTATTTTAGCTTACTCAGCCCTGGACAAAAATTAATTGTATATATATATTTATTTTTATATATGTTTATATATCACAAGTCGCTCTATACACTGTATGTATGTAGTCGTTGTCTAGCTAAGTCAAGTTCACGGCATGTCTCAAGGCAAGGAATAATATTATCAAATTGAAAAAAAACTATGCACATTTTTTTATATACATATATATGTATACGTATATATAAATTATTTTGTAAAAACGCAAAATACTAATATTGATAGTACGTTTATATCAAGCTAATCTATATATATATATATATATATATACTTTAGATTCCGTTTTTAAGTCATTTTTCTATAACACTGATCTATAGGCATAGTTAATTTGAATTCGTTTTGTGTTTTGGAAATATTACTATCTATATTTATTATATATTTACAATAAATGATGGCCCCTAATCACTTTAGAGGTGATAAGTTGACAAAAAAATAAAATAAAAATAAGATTGTTAAATAATAAAATATGTAAAATAAGCGAATATTGAAGCTAAAAATCCTTAGCACTCCAAAATAGATTTCAAATCTTTAAAATACTTTAAATGAAATTTACTCATATAGAAATAAAATGACCACAGTTAATCTGCTGAAATCTATCCTTTAGTTCAGAGTTGGAATTTTAATAAAATTAATATTTCTGTAGTAATATTGTATCAGAAAAAAGAGATAAGTGACAAGTTTTAACAAAATATCTTTAAGACTGCAGGATCAAAACCGAATCAAAAATAAAAAACAATGAGTGTAATAAAAAAAAACTCTGATACCATTTATACCAGTGTAGCACACACCGAAACTAAATCTGAATAATAACACTCAATTTTCAAGCCATATAGACGAATACACACATCTTATCTGTACAAAAAATGCATAATAGAGTCCTAATATCAGTGGACACAAAGAAACCAAACCACTGCCATATCGAAACTTCTTCATATTTCTAAACGCATGCACAATAAATCAAGCAGCTAAAGTACATTTTTGCCCCATCAAGTGGACAAAACGCTGACTGATAAGACCCGCCAATCTTTCGTTGTTGCTACGAGTATTGCCCGGTTTTTCAATAGTATTTCAATGGTTTTTCCATACAAAGATCAAACAGATTTCGTTCGTTTGGGTTGTTGGCAGGGCAGGCATGCGCATTACATTACAGGCTACGGTCGGAGGGCAATTCGATTTCGATTTCTAATCAGCAAGTGAGCCAGCAAGTGCGCAATGTGGGCGCCCAACAACTGATAAGAGCGCTGCCGGCAGGTGGCTCTCCTAAGTCGTCATGCTTCCAGCCAGCGTCTAAGGCTGAAGACTTATCGACAGCAGTAGCAGCAGCACCAGCAGCAGCAACAGCAGCGCCAGCAGCAGCAGCGACAGCGACAGCAAACGGCAACGGCAGCGATCCACAATTTCTATAGCATCCGATCCTGTTCTGCTTTCAGTTTACGCTTTGGCTTCGCTGCGTGCGGTCGTTTGCGTTTTTGTCGTGCGACAAGAAAATTAGAAAAAAAAAATAAAAATATAGAAAATATATAGAAAAAAAACCACAAGTGCTCGCGCTGAATAACAAAAATAACGTCAAAAACAATCCAAAAAATCAAATTATGTAAGTTTTGAGAAAGCAACAAATATGAGAATCCATAAAGAATAAATGTGTGTGACTTTCCGAGCCCGCCAAGCAAAACACGTGTGTTTCTTCGATCTTTTCCAATAACATTTCCCACGATTTACCGGCTGTTTATGTTGTTGTTGTTGTTTTTTTTCTGCTGTCCTCTCTCTGATTTCGTCTTGCCCATTTTCAGTTCTTAGTGGGTCAGTGCACTGTCCTCTCGAGTTCATTGTCATCTTCGCTCTGCTTTCTAGTTTTCGCTTCTCTTTGTGGTTTGATCGCCATTCTCACCACGTCTCAGTTTGGCCCCATCTTTGTGCCAATTCCACTTTCGCACTAAAGCAATAATAAGAGAGTACTCAGTTCTTCAGTTGTGTGACACAACATTCTCTTTCTTTTTGGTTTCATTTGATGCCAAACGGTTTGAGGCCAGTCCCAAAAAGTAAAAAGTAAAAGAAAAAAAAACACATGGCAAATATTTTTAGATATATTCATTATCTGTTTTGTTTTTGTACGCATATTCTTAGGTCGCATGTAAAAGTTGTTTAACAATTCAATTTTTTTTGTTTTTCAAGAAACGTGCGATTGGCAAAAATGTCTAGACTTGTATGCTTATCACACGAAAAACCGGTTTCTCCTATGCTTAGTTCTGAATAGTCAATAAACCTACGCAAATTCTGTATATAGACACACTGGCAAATATATATAGACGAAATCATAAGTCAATATCATATCAAATGAGGTGTAATTAACGATTGTATATCCGAAAGAAAACACATAATAAAAATATATATTTTTATATACTTATATACATTTAAAAATGTTGTATTTTATTAACCTGTAGTGTTGCCAGGCAATAAAATAACGGAACAAAACTTTGTTCTTATCACTTCAAGAATTCAAGTTCGACTTTTTGCTTATATTTTTGATTTTAATTTTCAATCGCAACTACAATTATTGGATGTTTTTTCGCACAATTAAAAACAAAGCATCTCTAATCATCAGATTAATTATTCGCAATCATTTGAAGCTAAACTGTTCAGTTTATATGCCATTTAATGCATTTAGTCTACAATTTGCAAAACTGCATACTCAGCTCAGTTATTTCAAGGTATTCTACTTTATTATGATGTAATGACGTTAGAGAAATCTTATAGCAACTTTCCCCATCAAAGGGGGGGTAGCAAAAATGGAAGCAAAACAAAAACTACTCAATTACCGGACTTTGAAATTGTTACACACATATTTCAGCTTAGAGCTTATCGTTAATCGCGTGTGCATTTAACTGTCAATCATGCATTTATTGCCCCTGCCCCCCGCCCATTAAACGTTTTGAGTGTGGCGCCTCCAGTCATCGAATCGAATCAGACACATGCAACGAAACTCATTTCCAGCTAAAATCAGCTGAAAAATCAGCTGTTTAACCTCGGCATTAAACTTTGGACTCATTTAGTTTAAACTGTTGTTGTTGTTGTTGTTGCAGCTGGTTGTTATTTTTCATTCTTAACTAAAAATTCGTTTTGTTATTTATTTTGGGCATTACGCTTATCACTCGAAACTGTTGGCTCGTTTATTGATTAATAAAAAATACAAAAACTATGAACATTCACTAACTGCACATGTGTACATACAAAGATATCGATAACGGTAATGTATGGTAAAGTCGAAACCTTTGCACCCAAAATAAAAAATATATACATACATATATATCGAGTGTTAGCTACTATAGAAAGTCAAGACTTCAGTAGCGAGGAGCATTATCATCTTTAAGATAACACTAAATGAAATGCCTACTTAACTAATGACAGGAAACACGCCTTTCTCGCTTGATACATGGACTGATATGATTGACTATAATAGCAGCTATGCTCTATGTAGTCTATGTAGTATGTCACTCTTCATTCAAATATTCCATTTCTACTTAAAGCTATGGTCTGTCATAAATTCAGATCTATATTGGTTGTATAATATCAAAGTTTATGAGCTAGATGAGTACCCCATGCCGCCTCTAATCGGGTTATAACTCATAATTTAATTCGGCCGATAAGGCCAATAGTGCTTCATCAGTTTTGACCACTGCGTTAGCTTAATGGGTAAATAAAATTTGATTTAACCTCTCAACTCGATTTCAGTGAAATGGCCGCGAATCCAAACGAAGCCCTTTTCAATCGCCCCGGCCCCAATCGTCTGAGGGAATCGGAAGTCTATCGCACCACCAATCCCGAGGAGGCCGTCAAGATACGCATGCATAAGGAGGGCCTCGGTGCCGAGGAGCCCCTCTCCATACCCGGCCTGCTCAAGCGCACCGTCAACAATTATCCCGACTATCCGGCGCTGCGTACCAAGAACGGCAAAACTGGCTACACAACAGTCACCTACAAGTAAGTCAAAAGAGTTGGGTAGAGTTGAGGGATACTCGATTGGTGATGGTCGTCTGATAATTTAAAATGGTTTTTATAATTGAATAATCAAAAACATAATTAAACTGAACTATCTACAGTCCACAAGATTGCCAGAGATTTCAAGACATACAACTTAAAATATATCTGCAAAATTACAAAAAAAAATAAAGTTTTGATTCTCGTGTTACGTAATATAAATTATAGGATCTAAAATGTTGTAATGACAAAAACAAATCCATTAAAATATACACTTTAAGGAACGTGGAATTCATTATAATTTTATAGTCTTTATTATCAAAAAAGTTCAAAGTTTACCCGCATTGAGTATATTTGTGGTATATGTTTCAATATAATTGACTTATTTTATGGATTTATATAGTATAAAAATAAACAAGTTTACATTCGATTTTGGAGTGTGTTTCTTGTTTTAAATGCGACAAGCACGCGACCATCTCTAGTCACTGCCAATTAGCCAATCCCTTCGACTGGCACGCCTCGCTGCCAAATTCGTTTAACGCTTATTGGATTTACCGCAAGCCGAACTCTAACCAGTTGATAACCCATCCATCTTCACACAGGCAATACGAGCAGAAGGTGCACCAGACGGCGAAGGCATTCATCAAACTGGGCCTGCAGGAGCATTGCTCGGTGGGCGTGCTGGCCTTCAACTGTGCCGAATGGTTCTATTCGGCAATGGGCGCCATTCATGCGCGTGGTATCATCGCTGGCATCTATACGACCAACTCAGCGGAAGCTGTCTTCCATGTCCTGGAAGATTCGCGGTCACAGATTGTCATCGTGGATGATGCAAAGCAAATGGAGAAGATACAGTCCATTCGCGACAGGCTGCCCAATCTGAAGGCGGCCGTACAAATCCAGGAGCCCTATGCACCCAATCTCAAAAAGGAGGATGGTTACTATAGGGTAAGCATTCATTCATAATTCAAAAGCTTCTTTAAACTTGAATAATATCTATATAAAAAAATGTTATCAGCACTGCTTTTATCAAGTAAATCTTATAATTTAGACTTTGTAATCCTTATCTATTTTGCAGTGGTCCGAGATCGAGTCGATGAATGTGAGCGATGTGGAGGATGAGTACAAGCGTCGCCTCGAACGCATTGCCATCAATGAGTGCTGCTGTTTGGTGTACACCTCCGGAACGGTGGGCATGCCCAAGGGCGTAATGCTTTCCCACGATAACATTACGTTCGATTTACGCGGCATTACCAAGACGCTGGATAAGGTTGTGATGGGATCGGAGAATATGGTCTCCTATCTGCCGTTGTCCCATGTGGCCGCACAGATTGTGGACATTTATACGGTCAGCTCGATGGCTGGTTGCATTTGGTTTGCCGATAAGGATGCGCTCAAGGGCACACTTGTGAGGACGCTGCAGGATGCGCAGCCAACACGTTTCATGGGCGTGCCGCGAGTGTATGAGAAATTCCAGGAGCGCATGGTCGCCGTCGCCAACTCCAGTGGCAGCTTTAAGAAAATGCTAGCCGGCTGGGCCAAGGGCATCACACTCAAGCATTACATGGAGAGTGAAGGGTAAGTTGCAACAACTCCAAACAAACAACAACAACAACAAACAAAAAAAACTTCAACTTTAACTTTTGTGTGCGCATAAATTATGCAAAGAGGATGCACAGTTAAAGTGGCTGCAATTCCCCACCTAGCTGAAACCTGAAACCTGGCAATCTCTGCCAGGCATGTTGCCGCTTTTGGTTCGCTAAATTATGCAAGCCCCGGGGCGGCATATAGCCCTCTCCCTCTCTCTCTCCGACTCTGTCTCTCTCTCTCTCTCTGTCCGACTTTCGCTGTCTCTCTCCTTCTACCTGTCGTAATGTCTCGTTGGCTTAAGGCAAACTCAAAATCACAGCCAACAACATTACTCATACGTCAGGTTGTACACGAAGGCATTGCACTGGATAAGCAGCTCCGGCACAGCTCCGACATGCGGGCACGTCCTTCTCTTGCGGAGCAGTTAAGCATTTCATCTTCTTCTCCATTTTTTTTTGTCTGAGGGCAGCTCCTGTAAATTCGTGACATGAGTTTAACTCTGGCTGTGATTGGCAGTAATCTTCAAAAGATTTTCCAAACAGTTGCAGAACAACTTTAACGTGTTTTAGATACAATAGATTTGAATAGCATTTGCATAGCCTTTCTATATCCTAACTATTCAGTGATTAGGTATATGCACTGGCTATTTCTATCCTCAAACTTATTCCTAACTTAAGTCTATTAAATTCATTTAGACCAATTATCAGCATTTAAGCAAACTGCTTTGGACTAGTTATTAGTAAATCATGTCAGTCAATCCTTGCCTATAAAAAAAGTATATTAGTAGAAAGTAAAAATACTAAAAAGTTATTTTTTAAATATTCAATATTCTCTTTAGATTATTACCTCTTCAATGGAAAGAAATATAGTGATATAAACCATTATACTTCAATATTCTTAGATATATATTCATCTGTGTATCTCTTTCAAAGTATTTTTTGTGTACGACAACCCATGCAATTAAAATCTAAGCTTAGAATGCCACACTTTGAAAGAAAAGTCCATTATCCTTGGCGCGTTTAATTATCAACTTGTAGTGGCCAAAACTAATCAACAATTCCAATTAAAAACTTTTGTTTTTGCAGCAAGAGCAGCGGCGGTTTTCGCTACAAGATTGCCAAATCGCTCATTCTGTCCAAGGTGAAGGCAGCCCTCGGCTTCGATCGTGTGGTCAGTTTGGTGAGCGCCGCTGCGCCCATGTCGCCGGAGACGAAGAAGTACTTCCTCAGCTTGGATCTGAAGATATTGGATGGCTTTGGCATGTCGGAGACAGCCGGCTGTCACACACTTTGCCAGCCGGACTCGACCCTATTGAATTCGATTGGCAAATCGATGCCGGGCTGCGAATCGAAGATTATCAATCAGGATGAGAATGGTCATGGTGAGCTGTGCATACGCGGTCGTCACGTATTCATGGGATACATTAACAATAAGGAGAAGACCGAGGAATCGCTGGACGATGATTGTTGGCTGCACTCCGGCGATTTGGGCTTCATTGATGACAAGGGCTACGTTTGCCTGACGGGCCGCTCCAAGGAGCTCATCATCACCGCTGGCGGCGAGAACATTCCGCCCGTTCACATTGAGAATACGATTAAAAAGGAACTTGATGGCATTTCCAATGCTTTCCTTGTCGGTGAACAGCGCAAATATCTAACGGTCCTCATTTCCATTAAGGTGAGTAAAAGCTGATAAAAAAAAGATATGTCTAATCTGGAATACCTAAATTTCCATACATTTGTGATTTAAAATGCCTATTTTTGAGCTACTTCTATCAGCGTATTCTATTTAAATTATTTTGTGATAATTTGTGATAAGCAATAAGCAAGTGAAATCTAATCGTACAACTATTTTATAGACCGAAATGGACAGAGATACCGGCGCACCATTGGATGAGCTCACACACGAGTCGGCTGCCTGGATGAAGTCTCTGGGTGTAGAGCACAAAACTCTGTCGGATATACTGAATGCCGGTCCCTGTCCGAAGGTGTGGAAGGCCATCGAGGATGCCATTAAGCGGGCCAACAAACAGTCCATCTCAAATGCACAAAAGGTGCAGAAATTTGCAATTTTGCCGCATGACTTCTCCATTGTCACCGGCGAGCTGGGACCCACCCTGAAGGTCAAGCGCCCTATCGTTAACAAGATGTATGCGGACATGATCGAGACCCTATATGCCTAGATATCAACTTGCCACATTTGGCTGTGAAACCAAAAATTTAACAGAGCTATGGAACTTGAGCTTTAATATGAAATGAATTTAACGGACTTACAAGCCATTGAGTGCCAGCTTAATACCAATTATAAAACTACTTATACTATATATAGCGAAATTATTGTTATCACTTTTCTTCCGACACTCAATTAATATGAGTGCGATGATGATGATGTTGATGTTACTGATGCTGATGATGATGATGAAGTAGACGACTATATTTAGGGCAATGTGCAGCCCTTAAACCCCATTGAACTATAGATCTAGTAGCGCTTAAGTTTTTAATTGTATGTTAATTTGTTTTATTTACTGAATCGCTAAGGAAATCATTTTATCCTATTGTTTGAATTACCACAATAAATTTGCATATAGATATTAAAATGAATTTTAATTATTATTTGAGACTGGATAGATTTCAAATCTTTAAACCAGAAAGGTTTAATTTGTAACCTGTCTGACAATATATATTTCTAAACATCAAATTTAAAATGAGTGAATATCTAGCTAATCTGTTGATCCCCAAAGATCAGCTGTTTATATCGAGGCTAAACTGATTCTTGGAAGTTCTAGCATATCTATATGAAGAGTTAAAACTACTTTTCAAAGGCATAAAATTATTATTTATCCCATTTACTATATTTCTGCTAGAAATATTATAGAATTTGCTAGAAATATTATAAAATCTGTTTATATATTATATAATATTTATATTATTGAAGCCGACTGGGATAGGGGCACTACATCATACAGTTGACATAGGAACAATCGGTCGAAAGATTATTTCTTGAATGAAATCAAGAAAACCGCAGCAAACTCACTAAAGACGCGTGTTATTATGACTATGAAAGTCAGATATATATTATATCAGATAGCTCTCATAGGAAGAATCAATTGATTATTTGTATATTTAGATGTCAGCAGATGGAGTCCGGCTTGCGAGCGTTTGTAATCTAGAGCGTGCCTAAGATAAACCTTCTTGCTTGTTCAATTTGTTTGCTCTTTATTAAGACACACATAAATAGAATAGAATACAACAGTTGTAATCCCTTCACACCACTTGCTCCTCCACAGTCAGATCGCTGTCAGTCTCGAGTCCCTTGGCCAGTCGCTCGGCGACGCGCTGCATCAGCTCCTCCATGCTCATCTCGATCTTGATGCAGGCGCGTCGCTGTGGATCGTAACGCTGATCGTGGCCGCAATGGATGCGCTCGCAGCTGAGACTCAAACTGAACCAGCTGCTCACATCCTTGAAGCCCACATGGCATTCGCACTCATTGTGGGCAACGCAATGGCTGTGCTCCGGACACCCGCCCTGGCAAATGGGCCGGCAGATCAGCTGATGCTGCTTGTTGTTAGTATGATGCGATTGCTCGTAGCCCCGCATGCAACGGCATTTGTTCGGCTCGAAGCAGTAGCTGTGCGCCGGACACGGCTCCGTGCAGATGGGCTCACAGAAGCCAAAGATAATGGTGCGATAGCCGGGACAACACATCTGTACGGTGTCCCAACGGATGCGCTCCTCATACACAATATACTGCTCCACCGAGTCTGCTGAGCTGGAGTTGTGCAGCACACGTGTCCTCGTCACTGGCACCTGATACTTGACACTGATGGTCTTCTGGCAATGGCCATTCGATATGGCCAACTGCTGTGTCTGATCCAGGCCCAATAATAACAACACCATTGCCAGTGCCTGCATCTTTGACTCGTTTCTGTTTTCTTTTTTTTTGTATTTGTATTTTTGTTTTTGTTTTTAGTCTGGGGCGTAGTCTTCACTTCGCGAGCGCACTGATAAAAGTGAAAGCACAATTCTTTTGTGTTTCGTCTGAGCTCTGAGCTCTGTTTTGCACTGGGCTTATCGCGAATGGTTAATGTTCCGAAACAGCATCGGCAACAGTGACTGAAACTGCAACTGCAACCGCAACAGTTGCCTCCACTGCAACTAAATTGTGCAAGTTCGATAAGACGCCTCAATGAACGACAATAGATGCATAACTGAGTTTCTTCTAAGAAAGGAAATGATTTGAATAAATAATATGAATAATAATAATTAACCATATACTTCCTGCAACAAATTACAAAATAAAAAAAAACTAAACTAATTTAAAATATTTAATTCAACTTGTAAACTCTCATTCTGAATAATGTTACAAAAGAAATGATACATCAATAAGATCCAACAAATTAAAATCAACTATTTCAATTAAATTTAAAACTATAATAAATTCTATTCCATATAACTACTATTTTTCAAAAATAAGATACAATAATCCTTTTCGATATTATCACCCGTAGAAAGCAAAGCACAAAACAACGCCACTTACAACAATAATAATCAAAACAATAATGCCACACAAAATGATCGTGCCTAGTTTTTTGAAGGCTTGTGGCTTTTTTAACATTTTCTTCACCTTTATCTTTTCCAAAATCCTTTGATTAGAATGCGATTCCGTTGGTATTTGATTAGCCTGGAGTTGAATATGAATTGAACGATCTGAATTATCTGTGTGTTGTGACCCATCTTTGTGTTCGGCGTTTACAATGTGATCCGAGTTATCTTTGTGATCCGAGTTATCAATGTGATCCAAGTTATATTTCTTATCTGTGTTATAAATGAGATCCGAGTAATCTCTGTCGGGCTTTGCTTTCCAAGCATTTATCAGATCTGTAATACTTGTACGAGTTTTTCGATTCGGCAACATTCCCTGATCTTTTGGATCTAACCTTTTCTGATGATCTTCATGCTTCTTTGGCTTCACCGTGTCCCTCATGAACACCCACTCAGATCCATCTGTATTATGGCGCCAATCTGTGATGTATTTCGTGACTGTGGGATCTGTCTGAGCATTCCTCCCGTTCTTGACTAGCTTTGAATGATCCAACTGACCATCTGTCTGGGCTGTCCATTCTGAATAAGGTTTTCCGTTTATCCGATCAAAGCGATATTTTTGATCTGTGACAGTTTCAACTTGGCAGGCATATTGCTGTGGCATTCCGAGTTTCTCGCCCTCACAGACAAGATATCGAGTGAGTCGACTGCAGACACACTGCTCGATATTCAAGCAGGACTGTGTCCTGTCACCCGTCTGGCAAATGCTTACGCATTTGGTCGCCGCTTGCAACAAGGGGGTCCAGCTGGAGTACTCCTGCCAACAGTTGCAGGCATTCATCAGGCAACGCTCGGCTGGCATCAGAAATTCTACCATGGGCTGGCAACCCTGGCCGAGGGATCGCCCCATGAATGCCGGCCAGCAGCGACAGGTGTTGGGCGCAATGCAGTCGCCATAGCGACAGTCGTGGCATTTGGGCTGGCAGCCGACAGTGCTGTTGTCCCTGCCACCAACCGTCGCGTAGCCCTCGTTGCAGGTGCACTCCTGTGGGGCGGTACACTGGGCGTTCACACAGCTGGGCGTGCAGCGGGGCTTACAATTCCCGGGCATGCCCTCGTAGCCCGCACAGCACACCTGACGTACAATCCAATCCTAAAAGAATAATATTTGATTAATTGCTTGATTATTGTGTACTTAATACAAAAGTCAAAAGTGTTCATAGCTATACGTAGATATATCCTATTCCAAGTCTCTCCAACCAACCTTCTCATCCAAGTCGCCCATTTTGATGGGTTCTATTTCTTGGCAGACCTTTTGAGCAAACAGACTTGTCCATAAGCAGCTGGTGGCGAGGGCTAAGGCTAAAGCTGACCATGCTTGAGTCATGTAATAATATATAAATATATATTATATATATATATATATATATATATATATACATATATCACTCTTTGTATTTCACTTGGAATTTTGAAGCAGATTTTGCCATTTTTTCCAAAGAGTTTTATACAAAAGCACGCCTAAATCTGTAGACAGCTTTAGAAAAGTGATTCCAATCGAAACATTTCCTTAAAACTCTATCTATAGATTATAGTTCTTGATTACCATTGACTGGAGCAATAGCTGTGCCGCATCTCGGATGGAACCGAATACCGCTTGCTCCACTGGAAGAACAGGCTACAACACCTTTTCTTGGGTTCCACTTACTGATCGTCATGAACACATTGAACAAGTGTCATTTAACAGCAACGAAGCCTTGGTTGTATTGGTGTCCTCATCCGGTTCGTAGCCCTTATAGCGGATACATATTCCGGGTTCGGTGCACACCTCATGGGATCCACGCGGTGGATTGCATTTAACGTGGCATCGATTGAGTTCCTCATCCCTCTCATAGCCAAACTCAGTGCAAGCACCATGTTCTCCACAACCCCGTCAAATCTCTAGTAGACAGGACACCTTTCTGTGTTCTAGATACGTTCTGTTTAAAAGATAGCAAAAAGATACTTTTTGTTATATATTTTAATTAAACAGTACAACTTTCACATGTGGGTACAAATCCTCTGATGCCTAAAGTTAGGATCAGTAAACTCCACAATATATCCATTTAATATGCTCCACAACGATTCAGATCGAACTGAGCTTTCATCTTTCATTTCGCCACAATTACAAGGAACCGCAATGAGTAATTGTATCGGATTTAAAGTTGAGTTTGATATATAGAAACTATAGCGCTCAATCAGAAATGTATGCAAATCACTCATATGCTAAACATAACTTAATCTTCACTCAAAGCACTCAAAAGAGAACGGAATTAACTCAGTCGACAAGTGAACACAACGTAAATACGCATAGACACAAACACAAACACAGTGTACGAATGTACTTATGCACGTAGGTGAGTGCTCACTTAGAGCTTTACTGTTGTTGTATCCACATGTCCACACACTCGCACTAACTGCATAAATATGTATGCTTAAGCAAAGTATGTAGACTTGTGTGTATTATTATTGTTGTTGTTGTTGTTGTTGCTGCTGGCGTGTATGTAGCGGAGCTTTTGCATATGAGTTTTGTGCGTTTGTGTTGCTCGATATATACAAATAAACATGAGCACAAAGCAGGCGCACAGAAATGATTAGCAAGCGAACGTAGAGCCATGTGTAGGCTATGTCTGGTTGTTGTTGTTGTTGTTGTTGTATGTACACATGTAGTACGAGTAGAAGTAGCTTTCGTTGCTGCGCTAACAAAACACACAGCTAAAGCGGTAACAGCGGCGTCGACGTCGACGTCAACGTTCTCAAATTGTGTTTATGTTTGTATGTTAGCCGGTATGTTAATGCATGTACAAATATACATGCACACACACACACACACATCCATGCATAAATATGAACGAACGTGTGTAATGAGTGAGAGCTAAAACCAGAAATGGCATGAAAATGAAATGTAATGGGCAACAACAGTAAGACACACGTGGAGCAAGATAACATTTAAATATATACACACACACATGCAAATGTATGTATATATTTATGTGTGTATGTGTGTGCATTTTTGTATGTAACGAAAGACGGGGCTCATGTTACCACTTGAGAGACACTTGTGGCCTTGACTGGGGACAGCATCGCTGTCAGCTTCGATGTCACTCTTGCTGGCTGCTTTGTTATTGCAGCGCCTACCAACAACTAGCAACAACAACTTAATTTTGTGTTATTATCGGCGCTTCGCAAAGGCAACAGTGATTTTTGCACAGTGCCGTCCAGAAAAATAAGCCGGCCTTCCTATTACAACAGTGCGGGCAGAATAATTATTGCCACATAAATAAAATAATAAAAAATATATTTACTTACGAAATGAGTAATTCCTTTTTTTCTCAAATAATCAATAAATTACTAAAAATTTTAAATATGTAAATAACAATGTACACATGCCCCTATTGAAATCATGACAGCTTAATGTTATCAGACGGCGTGATTAATAAATGCCTTGAGAGTTTTCCATTGATTGTCGGTCAACGGAAAAATAAGTCTGGCTCATGTCTGCGTAGCGGAAAACTGATAAGTGAAAATGACAGAAACGCGAATAAAATACATATTTATTTATTTGAATATGTCTACTGAAATTTACAACAAACCTTTATTAAATACACATGTATCATTTGTACAATTTACCCACTATTCAAAGTTGTACAATCGATAATAAAATAAAGTAAATATCAGCTACTGTTACGGAGCATTTGTATACTTGTCCGTCAATTTGTACAATCATTTAGTGGTACAACAAAGTACAAGTAGGTACAAATATGAATATGACTCATTTTTTTTATCGAATAACAATAACATTTATGAGACTAACGTATTAAATAGTAATGTTTTTAGTTAGGCACAAATCTTGTAAATACCTTTAATGTTGTTTCGAAACAATAGCAATAACTAAATCGTAATAAATTGAAGACACGATTTGTACTATTAAAAGCATCTTTAAGCTTCTATATCTGCATTGGCTGATGTGATGAAGATAATAAATATTTCACTCACGCGCTTATTATTTGCAAAGACAGACACCCAACAAAAACGTCAAAAGCGTTTAAATTGATTGATAAAATGAGTGCTCAAAAATACATAGCCTCTGAGCAAATCGTAAGATGAGAATAATCAACAAGTGCATTAGCATTGACAAACATAACGACATTTAGTTACTCTTCTCATATGCAATCATATGTATGAATTTATTCTTTGGTATTCACATTTTTGACGGCTGTTGTGTTAATGATGGGGATTAAAAACCGTTTAGAATACCGGTTGTTATTGTAATTGCCATTTATGTGGCTGACTGTGCGAACTTGGAGAGACAGGCGAGAGCACAACAAAGAGAACATTGCCAGCTAGCTAATATATTTATGTATGTATGGATGTATGCGAGTTTGTATAAATATGTACATATGTTGTTGGTATCGTTAATTTGCTTGCCCCTCCCCACCATTTACCGACGCAACCCACGTAAAGACAGTCGCTGAGGCTGCTGCCGATATGCTACTGCTACTACTACATTTTGGCGTTGACGTCGCCGTCGCCGTCGCTGTTCTCATGAGTGTAGAAATGAGTTTGAATGAGTTGCAAAAGGGGGCGCACCGTGCACTGCATGTACAGGCAGACATATTTATTTATGTACATACATCCATACGTATGCTTGTATGTTTTTGTATGTGCATACATGTGTTCACTTGTTTGTCAATATGTACATATGTTATTTGATTTTCGTTTTTTTTTTCCTCTTCTTCTCTCTTGCCTCTTTATGTTTGTGTACGTTTTCTTGTGTTGCTGTTGTTGCTTTTTTTGTTACTGCCGGGTACATGAATATAAATGTTGTTTATCTGTCGTCGTCGCCGTCGTCGACGTCGACGTCGTCTCGGGTGTCCGTCGTGCTCGTCTCTGCCTCTTTTTGAGTAGTTTTGTGTGTGTATCGTTTTGTGTGGTGCTTTTCTTGTTGTTGTTATTGTTATTGTTAGTGTTGTTGTTATTGTTTTGGTGTATATGAATATGTGTTTCTTTATTGTTGTGTGTACTTGTTGCTGTTGTTGTTATGGCTGCTCACTCAGTTGCTCGCATGAAATTTTGCTTTGACTTTGCTTTGCTTTGGTGGCTCTTTTTTTGCGCCTGCTAATCAATGCTGTGCGCCTGGTTATTTTGCTATATCTATATGTACACAAACAAATCTACAAAAGTCACAGACATGCACATGCACACCCCACCCCTCCCCCTCCACATACGCGTACCCAATCAGCTGCGTCACGTATCGTGCGTGTAAATATGTACAACACATGTTTACTACACATACGATTTGGTAATCTTAGTAGAAGAGGGTGAAGAAGGAGAAGAGGGTGAGGAGTAGTGTACGATAGCATTGAGAGCATGCATATCGGTTCCGCTATAGTAAATATGGTAAATGACAAATGTGTGTATGTCTATTTGTATGTGTGTATGTCCGTGTGAAATAAGTTTGAATATAACAAATGAATGGGTGTTGGACAAATGGAAAGACTTTTCTATTGCTATTTGTGATTTGTCAATTGAGTTGAGGGGCAGACTGGTTTGACTTCCGCTCATACATACATACACATACATATAATATAATATACACAATATAAGAATGTCTGCTATATGTTTACAGTTTAGAAAAGATACAGATTTTATAACTAAGTATAAAAATGCATATTTTTTTGTCTTATTGATGCATATGTTTATGCATAATTGTATTTTATAATTATGTTCTTTGATAACATGGGTCCACCCTAATGTAATAACAGCTACGATGGGCATATCGCTCTTGTTGATTGTTGTTGTAATGGCTAAAGACAATGCCTACAATCGTGTATGAATATAAAATAATACATCCCTTCATACATACATCACCCGCTGTGTCATTTCATACACGCATATAAAATAATAATACATGCATAACCCACTGTGCCAACATCTCCTTTGTAAGCTTACAATTGCATATATTGTTTTTTTTATACCGTTGCATATCATACACTGCTATCCATGTTAGAGCAGTAGTAGCACATGTACACATACATACACATGCCATTACTGCACAAGCACAAAAGAAAGGCAAAACGCAATATGCAACTATTTGTGCTGTAGCTTAATGGCCACCTATCTCTCTCTCTTTCTCTCTTGCTCACTCTTGCTAACAGCGAGACGCATGGGAAACGACAATGTTTACACTTGTTTGGCATTCATGGGCTGCTGTTCATTGGTAAATAATTTCATAATAATGTTGTTGTTGCGCACCATGACAAATGATAAGCCGCAGTCAACAAATTGCAACAATTACAATTGGGTTAATAATATATCATAGAAGGCATTGTTGTTGTTTGTTGTTGCTGCTGCTTTGCAATGCAACAAACACTTGTTCAAACACATTGTTATGTGTGTGTGTGAGCATCGACACACCGTTTGACATTTTGCAATAAAATAAATTAAACAATAAATTATAAATTTGTACAAAAAATGACTGTTGGGCGAACAGGCGCGCATCAATGTACAGCTAGCAGCCACACTTGGCTGCCTGTCGACGACTTGACTGTTGGTGTTTCTTTCTCTGTTGTTTCTGTTATTTGCCCACAGTGTGTGAGTTTTTTTTCTATACACACACAGGCACATACCTATCTAAAGTTGTATTTATGCACACGCCTGTTTTTATATACAGACATGTGTGTGTGTGTATGCGTATCATGTTTGGGAACCAGGCAAACGCGTGTAATGCGGAGAGCAAAGCGTGGCTGAGTGACCAGCCCGAAGGTGGGTATCCAATGTGGACCAACGCAGAACCGTTACAAATGAATGTTTTATGTGTGTATGGTAGGCACACATGTGTGTGCGCTTTTGCTTTGTTTTTGTTGTGATTGTTTTGTTATCTAACTCTTTCTACCTAACCCGTCCATTCGTCCAGCCATCTTTCTGTAACTCATGAGTGTGACTGACCTGGCCATGCAATTTGATGTTTGCTTTTCGATCGTTCGCAGCTGCTTGCCGCAGGTCAGTTTTGTGTGGATGAACAAGCAACGGTATGTATGCACATAAAAATGTACATTCACATTGGTTGGTGTCTATGATATGCAGTGGATGATTTAAGAGGACTGAATGGTGTGTGTACTTGCTTGACTAAATGTGTTGAAAATGATATCTGTAGTAAGAATAATGCGAAGGGGATTGTTGTGATTTACGCAAGTCATTTGATTATTATTGTAATTATAAATAGGAAAATACCATTCCAAGCATGACTTGACAGAAACTGTGAACGTCTTGAAAATCTCAGTCCAGTCAAGCTTACAACCTATTATCTGTGCAGGCCATTACAACTGATAAGATTGCAGCCAGCACAGGGTGTCACAAGGTCAGTCCAATTGCCTCTAGGGTGCTCGCTAAACGGCCCAATTGTGAGGCGAATTGTGAAATTTTTATTTTCATTTACCCTTTATATATTATATTTTCTTGATCAGCAGAGTCGATGCAGTAATTTTCGTCTGTCTGATTATTATTTCATATTATTATATAGTTGACATAGCAACAATTGCTCGAAAAATAAACTTACCCAATTGCGTACTATTATGCATTACACTTGGATTAAAAATTGTGATTGGATTACTATTGGTCGATGCATAAAGCGTTCCTTTATGCAAACGTGAAACTTCAGATCTGGGCGGTGTTTAAACTATTTAAATTAGCAACTGTAGTTTTGACCGAAACAAAAGCGCACGCCCAACTTGCTCAAATCTCTAGCTGCGATTAACCGTTAGTGAAAACTATCGATATTTAGTAAGTTTACAATGTTGTGTTTACATAAAGGAGTAAGATTTAACAGAGCTATGTAAAGTAGCAAAAGGTTGACGAAATTAACAGCTGATCGTTCAGTATCAGTTAACAGTAATCGGTCTTTGTTTTAGATGTTATCCCAGCCAAACTTACCCAATATGCGTGTTATTTGTACCTAATATTCAAATCAATGAGATCAGAATACTATATCATATAGCATAACTAAGCACATATTGAAATTTAGTTCTTAAAGGGTATGCGATCCTCGGCTTGCCAAAGAAAACCGTTCAGTCTTCATTTTTTGAGGCTTGACCTATTGCACGTGCAGCGATAAGCATACACTGAAAGCAATTTTTATTAAAATTTTGAAATTCATAACATATAAAATTAAAATAGGAAATAAATAAATGTTGAAGTTGAATAAATTTAAAGAAAAGTATATGGGATTTAAAAATAAAAAAAAAATGAAAATAATCACAAAATGTTTAAAAAATTAATTTTTAAGTTACTTTTATATTTTGGAGTGTGCGAGATATGAGAGATTTCCGGAGGTCAGCTCGTGGGTGACACTTTAATTCAGGTCACATCCAGATCCCAGTGCCGACTTAAGATTAAGAAATATCAATCTTAATGAATGCGTGTCGAGATTTGCCATATGTGCCCTTATCAATTATTGTCTGCGAGTTGTCATAAATAGGTTTGGATGAATTTGCTTCTGGTTATTCACCGCAACGTCTGCCAGCATGAACGACGTCGGAGCACGGAGCAGCAAGGGCCTGAAACTGGCCACCAGCTATACGAGCACATCCCTAAACGAAGCAGTCCAGCTGCGATTGGATACCAGCAATGATGCAATAAAGCCACAAACTCTGCCCGAATTCTTTCGCGAGACTTGTGAAAAGTACGCAGAGTTGCCAGCGTTGATGTGGGAAACAACCGGCAAGGATAAGTCCTGGCAGACGCTCAGCTATGCGGGGTATGCAAAGAGAGTGGAACAAGCGGCGCTGATGCTGTTGCATGTGGGCCTGGAGGAGCGCAGTTCGCTGGGCATATTGGCATTCAATTGCCCCGAATGGTTCTTGGCCGAGCTGGGCGCATTGCGTGCCGGCGGCATTGTGGCTGGCATTTATCCAAGCAACTCGCCGGAGGCAGTGCATCATGCGCTGGCCACCAGCGAGGCGACCGTCTGCATCGTCGACGATGACAAACAGATGGCCAAACTGCGTGCAATCAAACATAGACTGCCACGCCTCAAGGCGGTCATCCAACTACATCCGCCCTATGACAGTTTCGTGGATCGCGAAGAGGGCTTCCACAGCTGGCAGCAATTGGAGCTGTCCGTTTACGGCACCGAACTGCAACAGGAGCTGCTGCGCCGCGAGCAGGCAATCTATGCCAACGAGTGCGCCATGCTGATCTTCACCTCGGGCACGGTGGGCATGCCCAAGGCTGTGATGCTCTCCCACGACAGCATTGTGTTCGATGCCAAGATTGTCTCCGATACCATTGAGAACACGGTGGTGGGTGCGGAACGTTTGGTCAGCTATTTGCCATTGAGTCACATTGCCGCCCAAGTCTTTGACATCTGTTTGGCGATGACGTTTGGTGGCTGTGTCTACTTTGCGGATAAGGATGCCCTCAAGGGCACCCTCGTGCGCACCTTTGTTAAGGCACGACCCACACGCGTGTTCGGTGTGCCGCGTGTCTTTGAGAAGTTCCAGGAGCGTCTGGTGGCTGCCGAGGCTAATGCCAAACCCTATTCCCGTCTGCTCTTGTCCAAGGCCAGGGAGCTGATGACCCAGCATCAGTTGGCTAAAATTGCGGGGTGAGTTGTCAGTTCTTTTTGTAATTGCGGCGGATTTATCATTTATAAATCTGCCGATTCTTAGTGAGAAGTGCTCCATGTATGGCCTGGCCAAATATTGGCTGGCCGCTCGTCTCATTCGGCCCATACGTGAAATGTTGGGCTTGGATCAATGCAAGACGTTCCTCACGGGCGGCGCGCCCGTTACCTCGGAATTGAAGCACTACTTCTTGGGCCTGGACATGCCACTCGGCGATATCTATGGCATGTCGGAGATGGGCGGTGCTGTAACCATGCACGCACATATCACCAACCTGTACAGCTCGGGTGCACCACTGAGGGGCATCGAGATGATCATACACGAGCCCGATGCGAGTGGCCAGGGTGAGATTTGGTTGCGTGGTCGCAACAATTTCATGGGCTACCTGGGTGAACCCGCCAAAACGATGGAGTCCATCAGTGCCGAGGGCTGGGTGCGTACCGGTGATATGGGTTACCTGGACACGCATGGCAATGTCGTTTTATCGGGCCGACTCAAGGAGATCATCATCACGTCTGCCGGTGAGAATATACCACCCGTGCACGTCGAGCAGCTGATCGGGCAAGAGTTGCCCTGCGTCAGCAATGTTCTGCTGATTGGCGATCATCGAAAGTATTTAACCGTTCTGCTGACACTGAAAACCAAATGCGATCCACAAACCGGTCTGCCACTGGATGAGCTGCGCGCGGAAACAATCGAGTGGCTGCAGCAGCTGGGACTTCATCAGACGCATCTCTCCGATTTGCTCAACATCCGTGCGGATCTCAAGTTGCCGAGTGATAGCAATGCGCTCGCTGCCGCTCTGAAGATCGATGCTGAACCGAAACTGCTTGCGGCTCTGGAGGCGGGCATCAAGCGTGCCAATGTGAATGCCATCTCGAATGCACAGCGTGTCCAGAAGTTTGCTCTGCTCCCCCATGAGTTCACCACGGCCACCGGCGAACTGGGACCCACTCTCAAAATTAGACGCAATATTGTGCGCGCCAAGTATGCTCCGTTGATCGATCGTCTCTACAAATGAGTTACATTATTTTTAGCTATATTTTTTAATACTCAGATATTGTTTTAACACCTTTCTTCTTCTACAATTAGTACATATTTTTACTTATAAAGAATTTTATAGATAATTTTCGGTGTCTCTCTTTTACTACGATCGTTCGCGATCGTTTCTCAGGCGCTGAGTTTCCACCTCCACTTTCTGAATGCTCTGCAAAATAAGAGTTGAAATACATTTGAACATTTTGTTTAAAACTTAAGATTGAGTGACAAGAAGGCAAGGCTGGGAAATACGTGATTTTTGCCATTTTCTCGTTATTTATGGTTATGGTTCTTTAAGCAACTTTTAGTTAGTCTACTTTAGATTAGGAAAGTCGCCTTTTACTGATTAAATGTAGTCAATTTACTTAAGATAATAAAAGCTGAAGCAAAGGCCGGATCCAGCTTTACGTTAGCGGGAAAGGGGGGATATTTTTTAACCACGATTTATGTATTGGAATCCAACCGTATCCCTTGTTAGTAAGTTTTGGTAATCTTATCCGGCACTTACCATATTCTTCATTTCTCTTAACTTCTTGCCGCCCGCCTTGCGGTCCATAAATCGCTGGGCCCAGCGCAGTCCGGCAAAGGCTATTGCAATTGCCACCAGCATCCAGATGATCACCGAACGGGAATCGAAGCGATCTGTGCGTATCCTCGGCCAGGACAGTGGCGGTGTCAAAGGACCCAGCTCATCGGTAGTTTGCTGCAAGCATTTAAGCACATTTAAATTACATTTTGTGAAAATAGAATAATATATAATATCAATAAGAACTGTCCACTTAAATAGTGAAGACTCTGAGCTTAAATTCTTTGAAAATTATTATTTTAAAAACTGGTTTTCTATCCCTCAAAATATCTATAAATGTGTGTGATTTTTTTTTATAGTATAGGTTTTTTCTTAAATGTAAATTTGTAATTAAAATTGGGATTTTAATTTGGTTGCTTAATTCTTGGGTTTTCTTTAATTTTTCACACATTCATTCAGCTTTCAGAGCCGCTTCATTCGCTGACTTACCTCACAGTCACAAGTAGAAATAGGCGTTGTTTGCTGCCTGACCACGCCCACATCGAGCAGCACAATGGAGCGATTCTGTTGACCATCGAAGCAATCGACGCCGCGCACATTGAACACTGTCATATCGCTCCAGGCGCTCAGCATGGGCCAATTGCGGGCAAAATTCAGCGAAGCTGGTGGCGTTCTCATCATATTCCTGGCCAGCCACGAGCAGTTCCAATAATTGTCCGCCAGATTCACATGCCTAAAGAACAGCAAACTGCTCAGGTTGAGCGACTGTAAGCGATTCGAGCTGAGATCCACGCTCAAATTCAACCGATTTAGTGCCGGCGCCAATTGTTGCAACCAGTTGGCATCCTTGAGACGATTCCGGGCAACATTTAGACTATCCAGGTGGATCAGTTGCTTTAGTAGACTGGCGTGCAGCTCGCCCAGTTGATTATTGTCCAGATTGATGTCCTTGAGCTGGCTGTTCGAATGGAAAAGCTTATCGGGCAGTGTGTGCAGAAGATTATGACTAAAGTCGACCTGCTGCAAATTGCTCAGTGGTTGCAGACTCTCCGCATCGATGTGGGTTACAATATTATGACTGACATTCAGAAGCTGTGGGCAAAAGAGATTAGATTAGATAACTGAAGCAAAAATTTACAGATAGCGATAAAAAAAGAATAAATTAAATAAACACGCTTCTGGTTATAGAATTTAGCAGAAGCGTAGTTATCAGGATCAACAAAAAAACATATTTTTTTCGAATCTTTGATTAAGTTTATAACTTTTTTTACTTGTATTTTGCTTACAGTTTGTTAGAAATGTAATTTAATTAGCTTTAATATCATATTTAATAAGAACATATTTAAATAATGAACAGGTTTCATAGAGACAATGAAAATGAGACTCTGAGAAAAATGCTCGATGTACGAATTGAAATAGTTTAGGTTTTATACTGTTTTAGTATTCAAAAGTATTATTACATAAACTTCTTATCTCATATGATATATACTTAATGGTCTTTTAGTTTTTTGACATGCCTAAATATCATTCTGATCCTTCAACTTACCTCCAAAGATTCCAGTCCTAACAGAGTATGGTTAGTAAGTTCCTTCAGCCGATTATGACTCAAATCCAGATGCTGCAGCTCGAAATATTCGACAAATCCCTCAGGTCTCAGCTCCTGTAGCCCATTACTGGATAGACTCAAGTGAACCAGTCGTCCCAGACTGCGTTCCAGGAGAAACTGCAAGTCAGTTAGTTGATTATGTTCCAATCTCAGTGTGCGTAGATGTGTGTTGCTCTCGAAGGCTGCCGGCTCTACTTGAGTGATTTGATTGTGCTGCAGGGCCAGGCTGGAGAGGCGATGTAGACCCAAAAAGAAGCTGGCTTCAATTAGCTGCAGGCGATTATTGTGCAGTTGCAAATGCTTTAGGTGCACCAAATTGTGAAAGCAGTCCGGCTGCAGGTGTTCGATGAGATTGTGACTCAAATTCAGTTGCTGTAATTGGGGGTATTGCTCAAAACTCCGAGAGACCAGTTGTTGCAGCGCATTAAAACTGAGGTCGAGTGAGGAGAGTGCTGCCAGAGGCTGGTCCGACCAGGACCTGACGTTGCTCAGGTTATTGTGGGCCAGTGAAAGGCTTTGGAGACGTGCCAGGCCATTAAGTGCATAATCCTCTAGGGAATTAAGTTTACAGTGCTGCAGTTCCATGATTAAAAGATGGCCATATTGCACAAAGAGGGCGTTCTTTAGATTGTACAGACTGCAATTGCTCAACCTGAGTTCGTTGAGCGTTGCCACATCCTTCAATTCGTTCAACTGCGTTGCATTACAGTTGCTCAGCTGCAACAATTGCGTTCTGTTTGCCCCACAAATCAGCAGTGGCTGCAACAGCAACAGCAACACCAAAAACAGCCGCAGCGTTGACAACATTTCGCGGCACGTTCGACTCAAGACTGGGGACTTTTAACTGGACTGGCAAGCGGATGCTGTAATTGTTGTCGGCGTTGCCTTATCTTAATGCAGCAGCAGCAGCAACAAGCAGAAGCAACAGCAGCAGCAGCTGGCCACAGTGCCTGTCAGCACGTCTAGATAGTTAATCAGTTAACTGAGCTGGCTGGGACAATTCCGTGTATATCTTGTTTAAACATTTGTCAGTCAACACAACGGTCGAGTCTACCGAGTTGCGATGCCCTCTCTCTACCCATTTGCCACCTCTTGGCCAAACACAATTCGCCACTCAAAGCCGCTTTCTGTATTCATTTTGTGACCATGTCTGTGTTAATTATTTGGCCAGCTAAAATACTCAATGGGAAAATACAAATTTGCTGTTGCCTAAGTGGGCAATTGGGAATCTCAGTTGAAACTAATCGATTCAAATGTGCAACCGATTAAGGCAGCAGCGCAGCAACTGCATTGTAATTAACAGCAAAATGTCATTGCAAATTTAAGGAAAAATCAATTATGTTGTTTCTGTGAAAGCCATGTACTATAGTATTCTGATCTTGATAAACCTATATTTAAATATTTGAAGCATTATAAACACACATGGCTGGTGAGTTTGATTTACATAACTTATACAAAAACTCATCGTTCAATCGATCTTTCCTATGGCAGCGATATGAAATGGTGATTGGATCTAGTCGGGTGCGAGATGTGGACTTCTTATCAATATAGCTTTAAAGTAACAATTTTGCATACAAACAGACAGATGGACATATGGCAACTAGGCCAGTGATGCTGATCAACGATATAATTACTTTATAGAGTCAGAGAGGTCTCTTTCAATATAATCTTCACGACAAAGGATTAAACCCTCTGCAGGGCTATACAAATCATATTTATTTTCTACTACATATATTACATTATATTATTAATGTAAGAATGATTATAACAAACGTTTATTTGACATCATTAGATATGTTATTATGCTCCTCGTAGTTGGACTAGAAATTATTGAGTTCCGAGTCTGGATATATCATAGTTTCCCAGTAACAATTGGTCGGTTTCGTATTTTATTACAATTTATAGTGAAATATAAATTTTGTCAATTTGACTTCGGTCCAAAAAAAGTATGTCATTTTTGGCATGTTTTTTTTATATTTATTTATTTTTTATAAAATTAAGTAAATCTAAACTATTAAAGCTTTTAAATGTGACAGAGCAATTACCCAAGTCCTTTTCCTCTTTACTAAAACATAATTAGAGTTGTGAATCAAGTTAATTGCAAAATAAGTTGGTAATCCTCAGAAATTATTCATTTAGAAATATTTATTTAAATATATTTTAATTAAAATATGAAACTTTCTGTTTGTCTATCTTTGTGTTTGTGCTTTTATGTATTTGGTTTGTGTGTATTTTGCAATTTACCTGCATTTAAATCTTTAGTTTATCGTATTTGCCACTGTGGCTGTAGTTTAAAACCGCAGCCTCAAATGCACTTAGCCAAAACTGACAGGCAACGAGCCGCAAGCACAAACTGCAGATGGACCAGGGTGGCAGGGCACTGGCTCTGTACAGACCGAAGCGATTATGACTACACAAATTTGCCTGTTGCCGCAATTGTAATGTTTATTAATTTGGATTTTGAGCCAGTGCCAAGTCCGGCTGCCAGAGCCAGCAGTCTGTGGCCCAGAGCGTGCAAAACCTACGCCACAGACTAATTGAAATTGATATAAATGGGCCAGCAAAAACAAGACCAAGCTGAATGCCCGAAATGCTGCTGCTGATCTCATCATCATCTGCATAAAGTGCATCTTGTGGTTTCAGCTTTTACATATATGTATGCATTCGTTATTGCCATATATATGCGTATAAAAAACGATTTCAAATTAAAATGAGAAAATTGTGTAATAATTGTAAATTGATTTTACTTTTTGTGGTTGAACTGAAATGAGGAACTTAAGCTGGTCACATCGATTGGTTATTGCTTTTCAAAAATAATAATAGTTTGTCATATTAGAAACATTAATTTTTAAATTAACACAACAATACGCCTTAAGTATTATATTTCTATTTATATTTATTAATGCAGCAACATTTAATAATTTTCCAATTTGATAATTTAAAAACTTTTAATTGTTTCCTCGGAGATAGTTCAATGCGATCACTAATTTATATAACTACAACAGTAAGACTGATAATATATAATTATTGCATGAATGTCTCTGAAGAATATAGCTTTGATTTTAAGAAATCGACATGCTTTTTATGGCGAGGCTTACTCACCTTATTATTCAGAAAGTATATTTCTGAAGAAGACAACGGCTTAGCTCCAAGAATTTGTTCTCTATTATTATTATTATTATTATTACGGCTACTAAATCTACTCTCAGACTGTGCAAATTGCACATACGCCCCGTTTGTCAATGCGTATGGTCAAACATTATTTGCTGTGGCACAATCGTTGCGGTTGTTGCGTATCTGTTGCAACAACAACAACAATCTACTAATGCAACAGTTGCATGCGCAATTTGTGTGTGTGTGTGTGTCTCTGATGCGAATTCTGGCGAAGTATAACTCGATTTTCATGGCTGTGTGCGTTCTCAAATTGCGCTGAAATTGACAGCAACAGGCAGGCAGGCAGACAGACTGGCAGACAGTCAGACTGGCAACAAAAGGGATAAGCAGACCATGCCCACAGTTTGACTTCGAAATGACAAATTTAATATGTAGCTCTTGATGCCGTTTGGTTTGTTTGTTTGCCTCAGCTGCAGTTTCGAGTTGCCGACAAAAAAAAATAAAAAGAAAAAGATAAAATAAGAAAACTTGGCCAAATGCCAGACTGAAAGCCACGCAGCACATCCCTGATAACTGCACTGCAGGCTGGCGGGGCTGGTTGTGGGGGACTTCAGGGGTCCGGGAATTTGCACACTTGTGAAGCAGTTTTTATTTGCACATTTTGTAAGGCTGCAGCGTTTCTGTCTGTCGCGCCGGCTGTGTGTGGCTCCATGTCTGGAGGAGTCTCTCGTATTAAAATATTTTTCAGCATATTTCAGCTGCCAAAATTATTTCAATTTAGTTCCGCAAAATAAATTTGCCTTTGCCATATTTATTTTCTATGTTCTCTTTTTTATTCTCATTATTTTTCTTCAAATTCATATTATTTGAACGTTGAAAGTTGCCTAATGCTGACTTATTTGAAGCTAATCTTACTGAAGTTTTGAAAGCAGCTTTCAATTGGCTTTAAACGGCCAATCAGTGTGATTAACTTTTGTTTTGATTATCCTTTAAATATTATGATTATTTTAAATTAATTTTTCTCTCCTGCTGGTCATTTGAAATGGAATTGTTGCTTTACGATAAGCTGCCAACTTCAGAGTTCTTACACCCATCTTCTGTTTGCGCATTCAATGCATTTTTTATTATCTGCATTGTGCTTTTTTTGGTAGCAGCTTTGCTGCCGTTTGCCTCTTGGCCAGCTTCCGTTCTGGACTCGTGTTTCGTTTGACTCTAACCTCTAATTGCATAGCCGGCCAGTGCAACAAGAGAAATCTATATGTAGAGAAATCGTATAATGGCTGACCCTTCGTAGGATCTTTGCTTTGGCTTTTCAATTTTAATGGAATTTTTGCTTTACTTACTGCAACAACAAAAGTACACAACAACAAAGGCCAAATACACAACTTGATTTGTATTTGGACTGTAGTTCGGTTGTTATTGGGTCTTCCTGTTTCTTGGGGTACATCTTATTAATATTAACTTATTTATTTATATTTGGAATACTTTAAACAAACAAATAGTATGCGGCAGAGAAAATGTTTAATTATGTAAATATTTTTTGATCATTTTTGAATATGTTTTTCGGGAGGGAATCACAGCGTCCATCAGCTTGAAACTGATCGCTATCATTGATATATATTCTAGTTATTATAGCTAGACTGTATTTCATAAATTTAGCTTACATTATTCTTAACAATTAACTTTAAAGGGGTATTTAAATAGTTGTGTATATGAAGAACTTGATTTGGAGCTTGTTTATTTTTTTCATTTCAGTTTTTCATTTCTTGTTGTTGTTTTGCGTCTTGCAGCAACACAAATTTCTAAAGTTTTCATTGCGGGAAAAACAGGACTGCGTTTAGGTTGCGTTTCCATTTTCAACCGGTCATATTGCCCACAGTGTGTGTGTGTGTGTGTGAGTATATGTGTATATGTATGTGTACATGTGTGCGTGTGCTTATTTATTCGGTGTGCAGCAAAAATTCGGCATGTGCACAATGGACGAGTAAACGTGAATGTAAAACGAAACATAGACAAACAGTTGCGCTGGTGCCGGGCAGAAGTGGCAGGAAGTCAAGTTTTAGGACTGGGGCAGAGTCAGGGCAGGCTAACCCGAATGAACAACTGACTGACTTTGCCGGTATGCTGCAACTGCTGTCCAGCTGTTGACTATCCACACTTTTTGCATTTAATTTCATTTTGCAACAACTGTTTTTCTCAATTTTCCCGTGGGATACGGGGGTGGTTGGGTTTGTGTGTGTGGCCAGGCTTGATTTCGCTTGTGCGTTGCTTTGCTTTGCTTGGATTTTGTTTCTGTTTCATGTATTTTTTGGTTTTTGGTTTTTTGTTTATTTTTCTTTTTTTTTTGATATTGTGCTGTGCATTTTCGAGCGCTTTTTAATTGCTGCTGACAACGAAACTTTGAACAAAAATCAGAGTCATGCTTTCAACGGCAATGTGAGACCATTTAAATTCATGTTGGCCCAGAAACTGATTGAATAATCGACGTAATATTTGGGGATTTAACGTGGCCAAAATGCAGCTGGTAAAATTGATATTGATTTGATTGGCAGGGCAGTCTACAAATTTACTGAAACGATTCCTAATCCGCATTAATACACAATCCAGACAACTTCCTATGCAAATCCCAAAGGCAGGCCATAATAGTTTATTATTTAAAGTTTTTTATTGTTAGCTGTGTAGATTGGCTTATTGATCATGTGTATTTAATATAT